AATGCTTAGCAAGCCTAAAAGGTACTCAGTATGCCCCAAATAGAGCAAAGGAAGTAACAACATAATGCAATAATTGTAAGGGTAAGCTGGCACTTTGTTTAGCCTGCTTTAAAAAATTACATAGAAAAAAATTTACAATTATATTTAATTAAGTTACATTTTAAGTTATTTGTTTTGTATTGAATGTTTGATTATAATGTTGAAATGCTAATGTATAACTGTTGAATAATTAAAATAAAATTTTGTACTACGTATTTTTTTATATACAAGCGTGACCCATCGGTGAGACATGCCGTCCCGTGAAACAATCAAGCATGATCTACGGAACAGACAAGTATGTCCCACCGGTGGGTCAGGCCGTCGTTAATGTTAATATTAATGCCCAGCCGTGTAACAGCTTCTATTGTTCAAATAGCAGATGCTTGGTGTACTGATTTCTGAATATTCAGTACCTCAAAATACCCGAAATTTTAATTATTTCATCCTTTCATTATAATATATTTGTAAAATTAATGTCATTCTGATAACTTCTTTCCCTCAAGGGGTAGCAGTGTTAATGAGTTTAATTTAACACTTTAAAATAAATATCCCGTAAATTGTTTATATTGAAAGCAAGAAAGAAAAATTCAATTTGAATCATTTTCTGTTTTAGTTCTATTTTGAGGCTGATACAAAAGTGCAGGAATTTGGAGACAGCATAGTTGCTTTCACAGATCTACAGATTACTGATCATCCTTGTCATCAACTACATTAAATAAACTCAGTTACTGGACTATATATAAATTTGTCTACATTTAATCATACTTTATTTATTTCAGATAATTTTTATTATAATTTGTGAAATAATTTATTAATTTTAAAGAAGAAATCCTCTACAGAATTCAAATATTTGCAAGTAAATAATATTAAACAGCAATTTAAATTCTAACTTAGTATCTGCAAGAGAATTTGTTTGAAGCCTTTGTTCCTTTTTTTATGTTTTGCAATAAAAAAAATTTGTAAATAAAAAAAGACTTAGTGCCATTCATATGCTTGTGCATGATACTTTAACCATTAAATTTACAGTTATGTAACTTTAACAGAAAACTTGAAAGCAAAATGACATTTGAAGGTAATGTTGCAGATAATGTTATGCATGCAAATCAAACCGTGTAAATAAATAATAATAATAAAAAAAACCAGAAGAAGCATAAATCACAATGGTTAAAACATATTCCCTATGCAACTACTGCAGGGTTAAAAACGTTTTATACTTAAAATTTTAAGTGAAAGATAACTCATCCATAAAAGCATTTATAATTTTATTCCACTGCAATATTTATTATGAAAAATGTTTGTCTTCGAATGGTAACTAAACTTTTTTTGGACAGATTTCTATCCTATAAACTTCCAGTTATATACATTATTTATGTAACTCTGAAGTTTCAAATTTTGATGCTTCATGACTTTTTTTTTAAAACATTCATATCCAAATATACAACATGTCAAAAAATATAAGGCATAATACAGTACAAAGTATTTAATCCGGACTCGTTGGGACTTCAGCGATTCCGGATTATATAGATAATCAATTTAAATCTGGTAAAATGGCATGCAGAAATTATAAAATTAAAAATATGAGACCGTAATTTATGAAATAAAGAGTATGATCTAAAAAGTATCAAAAATAATAAAAAAAAAAAAACTTAATATTTGTTTGTTTCTTTCAACGCGCGTAGGTGTAAAACATACATTACGCATAAATTAGAAAACTATTTGATGTGTATTCGTGATATTTATAATGACGAGGAATTTGATTTATCTACGCATAAATTAGAAAATTGCAAACAGAAAACTATTTGATGTGTATTCGTGATATTTATAATGACGAGGAATTTGATTTAAATCATATCAAAGACGGAGTACATCGAGATGAAATACTACATTTAGTAAGGAATTATAAGCCGAATAAAATAAAAACATCTGCCCTGAAGATGAGGATAATGCTGACAGATCAACTTCCAGTTCATTGCGCGCTGTGAATGAACTGGAAAAATGCGCACTGCGCATGCGTAAACGCAAACGTATTATGCGTTTACACATGCGCAGAAAGTTTGTAGCTTTGAGGTCCGGATTATAGATCATTCCGGATTAAAGACTTGGTACTGTACTTCACTGTTACAAATTTGCAAGTATGCAGGTAATTAAATACATGCATAACATTACAAATAGTTTATTATTAACATTACAAATAATTTATTATTAACATTACAAATAATTTATTATTAAGTACCTAAATAACATTCAATACTATATTTCTTCAAATGCACATTACAGCAATATTTATGTCGTCTAATTTTTAAGGTAATTATACTAACTTTAATACTGAGCTTTCAGAGATTAAGAATTGCATTTGAGGACTAGGGTGAAAGAAGTATCTTAAAACTGAATTTGCCATCCATTTAAGTAAAAAGTGTATGTATTTTGTTAAAAAAAGTTCTATTAGATGAAACAAATACAGTACAACGTCCATTATCCGGAATCATCTAAAATCCTGACCTCAAAAACACCAACAATGTTTTCTCGTAGGCTTTATGCATGCACATTTGATTCCCCCCCTCTGCACATAATAAAACATCTGGAGAGACCCGATTCTTAATTTCTCTTCAACACTAAATAAAATACCTTGTTATTGAAGAAACAATCATTTTAGCATAAATTTATACAATCAGTAATTTGGTTCTGTTGCTGCATATCTGCTTGGCATAGATCTCAAACTGAAACATTACACATAGATACATCGTTGATCTGGTAATTCATTATTTATTATACTTTCCTTTCATCACCGCATGTTATCAAAACATGACAAATTGAGTAACAACTTATGTAATGATGCCTAAAAAAATTTTTTTATGTTAGTAATTGAATAATAAAGGAGTGTGGTAACCTTTTCTGTTGACATTACGCTTGGCGATGATTACAGATTTAAGTTAAATGCGTTAAAAAATGTTGACGAAGAATTTACCAAAAAAAATTTCTTGCCATATGCTAAAAATAAATTTTGTTGATGATACTCATAGACTCAAAGATTACATTTAGAGCCATTTGAATTAAGAATAACTGATTTGAACCCAGAACCATTGCCAGGGCTCGTTTGGTTGCATCGAGTTGCAGAATTTAGGACCCACAGAGACTGCATCAGGCGGTAAGATATCTAGCGCCAGCCCTCAATAAGTATATAGTGGGAATTTATTTATTCAGAACTCTGATAAGCCTTAAGCATGTGCAAGAAATAGACATAAATATAATAAATAACTAAACGAATACAGTTAAGGCTTAATTGTCTCAGTATGCGATAGAAGCAAGATACAATTTAATGGATCAACTTGTCATTAGTCGCCAAGCTCATGATGCATAACCAAATATGTACAGTCAAAAGTCGATAATTCTGACACCCATAATCCGGACCTCAAAGCTAAAAGCTTTCTGCGCATGCGCCGCGTTGACACATGCGCATAGGCGTTTAAGCGTGCGTGTAAGACCTTTACGACTGCACATATGTGTGTGCGCAAGTGCAGAATACGTCTTCGCGCGCACGTTTAATGTATAACGGACGGTATAAGCTAAAATTATCTAATTATCTATTTCAGTTAATGTTGATGATTGCATTGTTCCTTAATCTTTGAACTGGATCCGGCTTATTACATTTTTCAGACTCTAAGAGCAATTTTATAAAAGTAAACTTGAACTTTCGATTATGTCAAATAGAATTTCCGATGCTGGAGCTCCCAAAGGATCTACAAAACGAAAGTATATTTCAATGTCCATCAAACAAAAAGTGGAAATGCTGCAAAAAATGGATAAAGACATGAAGAAGGTGACAGAGAGGTTAGTGAAAACGAAAAAATTTCGATTGACAAGTTAGTTGGTATTCTCGGCACAGCAATTACGGGACTTGAACAGCGGAACTTTGTAACTGAACAAGAAATTATGGCTGTTTATAGAATTAAAGAGAAAGTATTATCACATAAAACGAAGCAACTTAAACAACTTACATTGAAAGAAATGTTTAATAAAGTAAACAAATATTAAGCTTTTTTTTTTCGTAAATTTTGGTACCCTTTAGATCATAATTGTTCTTTATTTCATATTTTTAATTTTAGAATTTCTGCATGCCATCTTACGAGATTTAAACTGATGATCTATAATCCGGAAAAATCGATAATCCGGAATCGCCGAAGTCCCAACGAGTCCGGATTAACGACTTTTCACTGTATAGTAAAGAACAGCTAAATTTGATGATGATAGCCGCTAATTTTAAAGGTTTTCAAATATCGCCAAACAAAGGTGAAATTTTCCAATTAACGGAAATGTGGAGAAGCAGTAATAAATAACGATGATATAAAAGAAGTTTTTCATTGTGATGATCATCAATCAATTAATGAATGGCGAAATCTCTAGTATGGTTCTATATCCAGAAAATACCGCTACCAATAGTGAAGAAAGTGACAGAGAAGTTGCTGAAAACAAGAAAATTTCGATTGACAAGTTAGTCAGAAATCTTAAAATAGCAGTTACAGGACTTCTACAATATAATTAAACAACAGATTATGTCTGTCTAGAGAATTAAAGAAAAAGTATTAGCACAAAAAAAGAAGCAACTTACACAACATACATTGGAAGAAATACGTTACATTAAAGAATAAAACAAATAAATTTTTTGGGGGGGTGTGTGAATTTTGCTACCTTTTCAGATCATAAATACTTCATTATTTCATAAATCATGATTTCATATTTTAAATTTTATGAATTTTATAATTTTTACATGCCATCTTACTAGATTTAAACTGATTATCTAATATCCGGAAAAATCCCAAATCCGGTATCACCGAAGTCCCGATTTCGAACTTTGTACTGTATTATATTTTCACATTTAACTGTATAAAATAAATTACATGTATGCATACATGAGAGGAATATGGTATTTTTTAACCTATCGAAGTAAATCAATTTTTAAAAAATATAGAGCATCTATCACTTTATTTAAAATGAGCTAATGCTTACTTACATAATAAAAATATAAAATTTATCATGTTATCCTTAATTTTGTGTAATACATAACAGAAATTATATGTCTTTTGAATTAAACATATTTAATGATAGTCAAAATAGCAAACAAATTTATAATTGGATAACAAGCTCCCCTATACAAATCAGATTTAAACAAAAACAGATTGGCAGCATTAAAAAAAAAAAAAAAAAAAAAAAAAAAAATTTACTTTGGAAGTACAATGGTTGACTACGGTAAAATCCGAGACAGCAGAAGCAAAAAGTAGGATGCTTAATACAAAATAGTTTCATTAATAAACCCAGAACTTGCATAAATAATACAGGATTTGAATAAATAATACAATGAAATTTAATAATACAGTTTCAGAGTGAATAATTTACGGATGAAAAAGCCTGAAACGTTGCAACATTAAATACATCTAAAAATACTGCTCAAATTATTTACAGATTAATAAATATTTCTTTACACCTATACTTCAATGCAATGGGTACTGAAATAAGGAAATTATTTTTTTGATAGTTATAAAAATATTTTAAGGCAAACTTTTAGAAAGGGAAAAATGGAACAAAATTTGTTAAAAAAATTAAATTCATATAAAATGGCTTCATAGGAAATCTAGGTTATGTTAATGTGTGTATACAGATATAAAACCAATACTCAGAATTAGAATGTAAGATTAATGACACCAACTTAGTTTCTATTCAGGTTTCAAAAATTCATAATATACATACATACAGGCAAATAAATTGGTGCATATAATTAAATGGGGGGGGGATAAGCATTTTTTAAAAACTTGGTTCACTTTGAAGAACAAGAAATATACACATTTTTATATTTTGAAAATATTTTCACATCCATTTATACATATAACACATATTAAACTTACTATACCACATAAAAATACACAAAATTTATTTCATCCAAGTTTAATGAAACTTGCCTTTTAAAGATGTGTACGCATCTTTCTAATTATATATATTAAAAAAATAATATTGAATAAACAAAATTGTATATTAAAAATCAATATGGATACAAGTAACAAATGGAAAAGGAATATATAGTAGTATGTAAAACAAGCAATTAAAAATTATCTCAATTTTTTAGCATATTTTAAAATTTTCTAAACATATTTTTAATTAAACAAAATGGACATTCACATAAAAAAGCTGATTTTAACAACATTACTAGTACTAACAATTATCTTTAAATCAGGCACTTTTAGAATAAATTCCTTTTCTTCATAAAACTTTTCATATAATTTTACACAACAAGAATAAACCACTATAAAAATTCAAAAAACAATTTAATGCTAGCAACAACTTACAATACTATTCTTACAATAAAACATATGAACAGAAACCTTATATTACACATTTTTTAAATTAGAAGTACATTTAAAATTTTGCTTTAAAAGAAAGTCGGGAACAGCCAAATGTAAAGAGAAAATAAAAGCAGCAGATTTATTTTCAGGTTATTTTTATAATATATGTACAAACTGAATTAATTTTGTCATCTGTAATAATAATTACTTCCAATGTAATAACGGTAATATAAAAATATAAGCTCAAAAGAAACTTATAAATGCTTATGATATGTTGATAAAAGAGAAGCTACAGAAAAAAGGCATAAAACATACAACTACAGAAATGAACCAAATTTCTCAATAATTAAAATGAAGAGCTATGATATGATCATGCTTAAACATTTTAACAATGTGGTTCATTAAAAACTATTTTTGTAATATGAAAAAATAAAAATAATAAACGTTTTCATTAAAAACAGAAAACTGATCCAATAGCCTTACTTAAAAATACTTAAATAACACTTGTTCATGTAGGGCATAAACAGTTATTTACTAAATTTAATCTTTTTTTGATCCTATCCTCTGATAACCTTTACTTGATGTTTTTCCTTCTAATGGGTCCCATGAATTATCTTCCCAGCTATTGTCCCAGTCAGCATTTTTACTTTCATATTCTGTTTTTCTATATTCTCCACTGTTTCCAAAATCTATCAGTAATTTTTCTCCTTCTCTTGATTTTCTATTTTGAGGTGATGTGGGAGTGCTTCCACGATTTTTAGAATTCTTTGGGGAACTGGAATCTCTTGTTTTATCACTTTTAGGGGAAGTAGGCGATGTTTCCTTCATCGACCAATTCCAGTCTTCACTTTGCCATTCAGTGGAAGTTGCAGCTCCTTGAGTTGGCAGACTATTTGAAAAAAAGAGTATAACATTGATTATTTATGCAATAACATATAAATATAAAACAATAATAATAAAAGAAATATTTAAACTTTTCAACATTCCTGTTAATGCACTTATGTTTAAGTCAGTAAGATTTAGCACTTGTATGAAGGATTTACATTCATTAATTTATTAAATTTTAAAATCAGAACCTTTGTTCCTTGAAGATAGGGAGTTTATGTTAATTGCCTTTGATACTGACTGATTAAAAAGTATAGGAGAAAATTTAAAAAATATATGGGAAATATTTTTTAATAATATAAATTCTAGTTTTCAAGTCACAATTTTCTTTGGAGAGGAAATATTTCATACAATTGCAGCTGCTAAAATAAATATGGGAACATTAAATTTATTTCTTACTCAAATGAAAACTCACCAAATCATATAATTCAGTAAAACTAAAAGTAAATATTTAGCAATATAACTGAGATAATTTTAACATTACATCACACATTCATTAAACTTCAATTTAATCTTGCAATTCAATTAATCTTACAATCAGATTTATCAACACATGTGCACACCTAAAAGTGTAGATGGTTTTCTAGTTTCATACAATACATGCTAATTTGTTTCATGTTGTCATTCTCATATACAAAATTCGGTGTTACATATTTATTAAATTCAATGTAATCCTTTTTTTAATAAAATATCTACAATCCTTTTAAACATTTTTCAAAGCCATAAATACAGTACATGCATTTGCCCCAAATCAAATTATAGAATGGTGTATGGTGTATTTAATTACGGCAAAGCACACTAGGGCTATCTGCCTAAGGGGGAGGGATGCCTTCGTGGAGGACTTTCTAAGGGAAACTGGCTCGTATACACGTTACACATGGGGAAAACCACGAAAACACCCATGCAGCCAGCCCGTTCGCGGGATTCGAACCTCAGACCGAACTACCAGTGTTCAGCGACTTTACTGCTCGGCCGCTGGTGGGCCAAATTATAGAATGAGTTCCATACTACACTATACTGTAGTCATTCCCTAGATTTCATCTGACATTTTGTTTCATTTTACAACCAAAATTAATATGTATGACAAATAATTATCTTTTGATTTTATTTGTCATGTTTTATACATTTAAAGGTAATTTTGTACAAATGAAATATGTTACTTAGCATTTGCAAAGTATAATACATATAATGAGCAAATTACTTATATTTTTGACAACCAATATAAAATTGCAAGCATTTTTAAAAGGCTCTGAACTCATGAACTTCATTTTCTTAGAATACTCTCATTCCTGACCAACTGAATAAATGCAGGTTGGCTATGTTAATATGAAATAACAATTATTCAATGAATTACTGCAAAATATAAAATTTATTAATTATGATATTACATAGAAGTTTTTGTCATTATTCTTGAAAGAACTTGATATAAAGATAATGTTTAATAATAAAGAAAGGTGTTTATATCTTTTGAATCTGTTACATTTTATTAACTTCAAACTGAACTAATATCAATCATTTCAAACAATAAATTATTCTGAACTTAATTAACAAGAACACAGCATAAAAATACACTACAAAAGGAAGAAAAAAATCTTATGAGCAAACTAGCAGCTACGCTGCCAGTCTTCATCTGGCTTTTAAGTGTACCGTAAAAATGCCTGAAGGGAACACCAAACATTAAATTAAAAAACTGTGCAGAATTTTACTCTGCAGAAAACTTCCGGGGGGGGGGGGAGAGAAATTAAATATAGTACATATAAAAAAATTAACCAACTTTCCGTTGAAGGAAAAATATCATGCAAAACTTTTCAATATCTTACAAACAGTGAAATAAGCAAAAAATAGCATGAAAGAAACTCAAAAAACAAAAAATTCTGTGCAGAATTTTACTCTGCGAACAACTTTTGTAAAAAAAAAAAAAAAAAAAAAAAAAAAAATTATACATATAAAAAAAAGGACCATGAAATGATGCCAATCTCTTAAAAACAGTGACATAAGAAACACAATGAAAAATTGTTGCCAAAACCATATTTCAGGGTTGCCACTCAAACAGAGAATGAAATTCCCTGACTTTTCCAGGTGTGTTTCAAGAAAATTCCAGTCATCCGTAATGTACGTTGGCTGTGCTAAGAGGTAAATTAATTATGGTATTACTTGTTGTGTAGCAAATTCACTTAATTATTCAATAAATCCCAGAAAGACATTTATTCTTAATTATTCTTGGTATACTTTGTTTGATAATTTTGTTTAGTTTTCCACTTAAGAACTTAATAAAATTTAAGATAGATACATTGGATAACAAATGTATGTTTTATTAATTATTACTCATGATCATCACCAGTTTCAACACGAGGCTATCCGGTCCTTATAAATCACAACGCAATGCTAAATAGTTAGGCTAGATTTTAGGTAAATTTAATTTGCGTGAGGTATGTTCTTAAAAGGCACCTTAAACTTGAAAACACAATATAATTATAATAGTTTGTTGTTTTCCTCCACTGAAGATTAGATTAGAATCTTCCCATCTGGAATAAAATAAGGCTTTTTTTGCAGACATTCTGCAGCTAACGAAAGAAAGAAATCTATTTTAATAAATTAAGGTAGTTATATTTATTTCGCAGCATACAAGGAAAAATATTTGCATTAAATTTCGTGATGGTATTCATCATACTGCATTAATTTCAGATTATGCAGAGAAAATTTCCTGAAATTTGAAAATATTACTTACTAATAAAAAATTTAGAGGGAAGAAGCAACATTAAATTATATGATAACATAAAAATAATTACTTAAAAATTAGAATAATCATCAACGATATTTAGCGAATATAGTTACATGGCTAGCCTAGATGACTGATACTATTTTTTTTTTTACTGTAAAATGGCAAGGTGTATTTATTAAAAAGAAAAAAAAGGTTTAAAAAGATTTTGCGGTAAAATTCTAGTATACGGGTAAAGGCTTTGGCACGATTTTGAAAATGTCGCCAAGACCAAAATGACCCGTTTTTACTGCGCATCATGATGTCGCCAAATCCCATTATTCTAACCAAAGAACGTCTATGTAAGAAGAAAGGTTCCATACAAGTAAAATGCTATTACGCCGCTAGAATGCGGAGGGATTTGGCGACGGAACCTGGCGGCCAGAATTTTCCTCTCCGCGATTGTAGAGGAAATTGAGAAACACGTTTAAGAAAAACGCTCTTTGACAAAAAACTACAAAAATCCGTTTTTAAAATTATTGCGAAAAATCCAAGAAGAAACGTTTTATCAAAGGACGTTTCTTCTTGGTTTTTCGCAATAATTTTAAAAACGGATTTTTCGTAGTTTTTTTTTTTTTTTTTTTCTCTTTTTTTTCCCCCCCCCCTGAAAATAACTAATCCATGAATTAATTTACTTGCGCCAAAAATATTTTTTTTCCTTTAGAGTTTAAAACCACTTGCGCTAAGACTAAAATTCACGATTGCGGTGCCGTGCGCTAAGCGGTAAAGTGTCTCATTTACCGCCGCTCCGCATCTGCGAGTGCAATCCAGAGCTGTAACTCGAGAATAAACAATGTCGTTGTTAGGCGACGTGTGCACCACGTTATTTTCATTTTTGCGATAAATGCTTATCGCAAAATGCGTGCGACGTGGTGTTCACGTCGCTCGCGGTTTGAGACAAAAGCATCTGACGTGCGTGGCACGTCTTTTTAGCGCAAGTGGTTAAAGAATTTTAAACGATATTCATTTTATGAACTCTTGATAACGTGACCTTCGAACTTTCGACACCGGTTTCGAGCTTTGGCGACAGATATATCAGACATGCACACTGTTTCCTTCTATGATGGAATGGAGCCACGTCTGTTGCAGAGAGGTTTTTCCTTCTTTACAATACATATTCTTTGATTCTAACCTCCATGATACCGTATACTAGGATTAAACCCATTTTGTTTTATACGAGAACAGGTACTTCTTCTTTAGTTCATGCACTGCACATGCTATTCTCGAGAATACTGGAACCTAAATTTGCGGGAAAGTTGCTTTGCCTTTCTAAAAGACAATCAAATTGGAGCTGCGAAAATTGGCTTTATGCCAGCTACCCGAATGACACTCACGTGATACATAATTCGCCAAAAAAGTTATCTCTTCCGACGTCGGCGCAAAATCGCTTTTTTTGGCGGGATCGTTGTATGAACTTCCCTGATTTTTCCAGATTTTGACAAAAATACTTAAATTCCCTGACTTTTCCCTGAATATTTTGGTCAATTTTCGAATTCCCTGACTTTTCCCGGTTCTCCCGGTTTTCCAGGTAGCGTGGCAACCCTGATATTTTTAAAAGAATGAAACTATTCAAAATGATGCGATTTCATCAAAAATCTATCAATAACAATTAGAAAGGAAAATTGTTGCCAAAATCACATTTTTAAAGATGTGAGATGTGAGAAGTGTACTTGGAAGCTTCATTTAAAAATTTTCTTAAAAATACAAAATATTATCATTTTTCCCAAATTCTTTTTGTAAAAGCAGTTGTAAGGATGAAAGTTTAACGTGTCCAAAAATCAAAAAAAAAAAAAAAAAAAAAAAAAAAAAAACTGTACAAATTTTTTAAAAATAAACTATTTTAGAAAAAATCCCGCTGAAAAGATGTTAAGCTCACATTGTTAAATAACTTCGTATTTAATCGATTTATTGAAACACGAAATTTTTTTTCAGTTCGTAAAATAGCTAAGTGGCTATGTTTCATGACGATGTGAAAATGGAGTGTGTAGAATAAAATCTCACTTTCCTATAGCCCATTATGGCTTAAAATGACGCGATTTCGTCACAAAACATAAAATAAAAAAAAAAAATCTATTTCGAAAAAATCGCTTCGCGGTGCACTGGCTCTTGTCTATATGCACCCATGTACAAAATTTTGTAGCCGTGGGTCTATTAGCTTAAGCGCAGCACGAACGAAAGACACACTCTTTCTTTTATTATATGTAGAGATATCATTTTGCTTTCAGGGTGTTTCATGTTGAATGGGA